TATATATATATATATATATGATTTATTTTAAATATACACAGTAATTTAATAAAATAATTTATTAAGAATATCATCTTGTCAAGACGAATAAAAAATTATATATATAAAGAGATTGGAAAAATAAAATAAAATTACATAAAAATATAGGAAAATTAATAAATTAATTATATTTTATAAATCTTGAATAGTATTAAAAAAACATAAAGTGTCTGAAATTTTGATTTAATTAAAAAATGATATAAAATAAGGATTTCGTTAAAATACAAATAATTTGAAATAACGATATTTCAAATTATCAATCAATCATTTTGCTTATAAATTGATTAATCGATATCAATTGTATCATTTACTATTTTTCATCTTCAATATTTCGAATTGTAATATCGTAATACTCGTGTCACATTTTATATTTTCGGAATATTTGCAAAATTCATATGAAATCATAAAATTTAAATGCAAATTAAATAATCTATTTTAAAATTTTAATTATATTTTCTTGCTGAAAAATTTTTGGAAATTATTTTTGTATTTTTTTTACAGATTAAATCAGAAATATTAAAATTACAATTTTTATACAAATATCATTGATTAGTAGGTCGTTCGTTTTTACTATTTATGATGTTACAAATTAAGATAACATTAATTTTTTTAGATACTTTGCTAAATTACCAATATTCCAAATGTACCGCATTTTCTTTAATAATTTATATATTTTAATTGTTTTCTCAATATTTTTTTGATATAAATATTTACATTTCGAACGTTACTGTTAGAGTTTAAATTATTCTATATGTGTACATATACACACTATTCGCATTGATACATTTTTTACAGTTTTCCAGACCGGTATGGTGGGTTATCTAGAATCGCTTACAGATCCTTCCTACCATGCTCAAATTCTAGTGCTCACGTATCCACTGGTCGGAAATTATGGAGTGTTTGCCCACGAAACGGATGAACATAAAATTCCATAGTAAGACGTACAAAAACGATGTTTAATGTTAAAAAGAAACAATTTAAAATTTTTCGACTTTTTTTATTACTTCATTTTCCATAAATAATATTGAAATTTTTTCAAAGTCATATGACTTTTGTCTTACAGTTGGTTCGAATCTGATCAAATTTGGGCCGCTGCATTGGTGGTCGGTGAAATTTGCGAAACTCCGAGCCATTGGCGTCAAATCAAAACCCTGTCCGAATGGATGAAGGAACAAAATATTCCTGGCATATACGAAATTGACACCAGAGCTTTGACAAAAATAATTCGCGAGAAAGGCACTTTATTAGGTAGAATCGTGCTTGATCTGCCAACATTTAATCCCATTCCTTCTTTAATTCCTCCGATAGAAGACCCGAACAAAAGAAATCTCGTTGCAGAAGTTGTTCAGGTATTCAGCAAAGAATTTATTATATTACGATTTGATATAATAACCTATTCCTAGCCTTCATCGCCCCATTGAGATTTATTATGGATCATTGAATTTTAGTCTGCTCAAAGAACGTACAATGCCTCTGGTTATCCTCGCATATGTGTAGTAGACTGCGGTTTAAAGTACAATCAATTGAGGTGCTTGATTAGTCGAGGTGCCCGATTAGATGTTGTGCCTTGGAATAACAATTTAAAGAATATCGATTACGACGGCTTATTTCTCAGTAATGGACCAGGCGATCCGACCAAATGTGAGACGACGATTGAAAATATTCGATCCATTCTCGAGTCACGAACGAGAAAACCGATATTCGGTATTTGTCTCGGACATCAATTACTTTGTATTGCCGCCGGTTGCGTCACATACAAGATGAAGTATGTATTCCTGTTTATCTTCTAATTGCACGTTCAAGTTTCTCTTTGAAAGCATACACGTTTTATATACAGTTACGGAAATCGCGGTCATAATCAACCGGTTACACATCATGGAACCACTCGTTGCTATATGACTATGCAAAATCATGGATTCGCCGTGGACGCGAATCAATTGCCAACCGATTGGGAACCGCTTTTTACCAATACTAATGATAACACCAACGAAGGTGTAATACATTCCACGCTTCCTTATTTCTCCGTTCAATTTCATCCCGAACATTCAGCCGGCCCGCAAGATCTAGAATGCTTGTTCGACGTTTTTCTGGATGTCGTGGTCGATAATGCAAAAGGAGGACAACTTTCTATCAAAGAGAGATTAAATCGTGAATTGAGCTTTCATGGAGAAAATTTTAAATTGTCCGTACGGCCGAAGAAGGTGTTAATTTTGGGATCGGGCGGCCTCAGCATTGGACAAGCGGGCGAATTCGATTACTCTGGATCACAAGCGATTAAAGCATTGCGGGAAGAATGCGTGCAAACGCTGTTGATTAATCCTAATATTGCAACTGTACAAACATCCAAAGGCATGGCGAATAAAGTCTATTTTCTACCTATTATACCGGAATACGTGGAACAAGTAATTAATGTTTCAAAAATTTTTAAGATTTCTTTCTTTTCTCTCTCTCTCTCTCTGACAAATTCTTATTTCAGGTAATACAATCGGAACGGCCAGATGGTGTGCTATTAACATTCGGTGGGCAGACTGCTCTCAATTGTGGCGTCGAGCTTGAGAAGAACGGGATATTTAAGAAGTATAACGTGAAAATTCTAGGAACGCCTATACAATCAATTATAGAAACGGAGGATAGAAAGATTTTTGCAGAACGTATAGCAGAGATCGATGAAAAGGTGGCACCAAGCGCAGCTGTGTACTCCATCCAGGAGGTATGATAATCGAGTTTCATTAAATCGAAGTAAACTTTGGCACGAGTTTAAAAATCATTTAATTTGTATCAGGCATTAGACGCTGCCGAGAAATTAGGATATCCAGTAATGGCCAGGGCAGCATTCTCCCTCGGTGGTTTGGGATCCGGTTTTGCAAATTCTATGAAAGAATTGCGAAATCTTGCTCAACAAGCGTTCGCTCATTCGAATCAATTGATCATCGATAAATCGTTAAAAGGTTGGAAAGAAGTGGAGTACGAGGTCGTGCGGGATGCGTACGACAATTGCATCACAGTTTGCAATATGGAAAACGTCGATCCCCTTGGGATTCATACCGGAGAATCGATCGTCGTCGCTCCAAGCCAAACCTTATCCAATAAAGAATACAATATGCTTCGAACGACAGCTATTAACGTGATTAGACACTTCGGCATTGTCGGCGAGTGCAACATTCAATACGCGCTGAATCCAAATACCGAGGAATATTACATAATCGAAGTAAACGCAAGATTATCTCGTAGCTCGGCTTTAGCAAGCAAAGCAACAGGATATCCATTGGCTTACGTAGCCGCCAAGCTAGCTCTTGGTGTACGTTTACCGGATATTCACAATTCCGTTACTGGAAAGACCACGGCTTGCTTCGAACCTAGCCTCGATTATTGCGTCGTTAAGATCCCCAGATGGGATCTCGGCAAATTTCATCGGGTATGCACGAAGGTAATTCAAACAATTATTATTACACGCAACGTTATTTTTACAGAAAACTATGAAATTTTCCAATACGATTTTTAGATCGGCAGTTCCATGAAAAGCGTGGGGGAAGTAATGGCGATTGGCCGTAAATTCGAGGAAGCTTTTCAAAAAGCTTTAAGGATGGTCGACGAGAACATCAACGGTTTCGACCCTTACGTGAAAACCCCGAACGACGAGGAATTGGAAAAGCCGACGGACAAAAGAATGTTTGTACTCGCGGCCTCTATAAAAGCTGGATATACAATCGATCGATTGTACGAACTTACGAAAATAGATAAATGGTTTTTACACAAGATGAAAAACATCATCGACTATTACTTGGTCTTGGAAAATACGGATCACACGAAATTGTCGCACAACGTTTTGCTACGGGCGAAACAAATTGGATTCTCGGATAAGCAAATTGCAGCCGTGGTTAAAAGTTCGGAATTGGCTGTCAGGATACAGAGGCAAGAGAACAATATACGACCGATGGTGAAACAAATAGATACGGTAGCCGCGGAGTGGCCAGCCACTACTAATTACCTTTACCTAACTTACAACGGCACTACACACGATGTCGAATTCCCTGGTGGATACACAATGGTGATAGGTAAGCAGTAAAATATAATTTTCGATGAATTGGACATATGCATATTTCTTTTTTTTTTTTTTTCTAGGATCCGGAGTGTATCGAATCGGTAGTTCGGTAGAATTTGATTGGTGTGCCGTCAGCTGTTTGCGGGAATTGCGAAATTTAGGGCGAAAAACGATCATGGTGAATTACAATCCTGAAACAGTGAGCACCGATTACGACATGAGCGATCGATTGTACTTCGAAGAGATATCGTTCGAAGTTGTAATGGATATTTACGATCACGAATGTCCAGAGGGGATAATTTTATCAATGGGCGGCCAATTGCCAAATAATATCGCTATGGATCTTCACAGGCAGCAAGCGAGAATTCTCGGCACTTCGCCTGAATCTGTCGATGGAGCTGAGAATCGTTTCAAATTTTCTCGTATGCTGGACGGCATTGGAATTTCGCAACCCAGGTAAACGTAAAATTATTTCCGATTATTATCCGATTGATATACATAAAAAACATTTATTTACAGGTGGAAAGAATTAACCAACTTGAAATCCGCGATCGAATTTTGCGAGGAAGTTGGATATCCATGTTTGGTACGCCCTTCTTACGTGTTAAGTGGCGCTGCGATGAACGTGGCCCACTCGAATAACGATCTCGAGTCGTACCTGAAGAGCGCGAGCGAAGTAAACAAGGAGCATCCAGTGGTTATATCAAAATTTATCCTCGAAGCGAAGGAGATAGACGTGGACGCGGTTGCCTTTGACGGAATTATTCTTTGCATGGCGGTGTCCGAACACGTGGAGAATGCGGGCGTTCATTCGGGTGACGCTACTCTGGTCACGCCACCGCAGGATATCAACGCGGAAACTTTGACGAAAATCAAAATGATGTCGAAGGCGATTGCCGCGTCCCTCGGCGTCACCGGCCCCTTTAATATGCAATTGATCGCGAAGGTAAAAATATGGTTGATTATTTCTTGGAGGATGAGAGAGTCGAGCAAAAAATTATAACGCGTTTTATCCACAGGATAACGAGCTTAAAGTCATCGAATGTAACGTCAGAGTGTCAAGATCTTTCCCTTTTGTATCGAAGACTTTGGATCACGATTTCGTCGCTATGGCTACACGATTGATCGTTGGAGAGGCCGTAGAACCGGTTGACGTACTCGCTGGATGTGGCAAAGTCGGGGTTAAAGTTCCACAATTTTCTTTTTCTCGTCTTGCGGGTATGTGCAAGTATATATATATATATATTGAGAAAAAATTATTCAAATCATATGTTGGAAATGTATATTTAAATAATAATATTTGCGTAGGAGCTGACGTGATGTTGGGAGTGGAGATGGTATCCACTGGTGAAGTGGCTTGTTTCGGGGATAATCGATACGAAGCTTATTTGAAGGGAATAATGAGCACAGGTTTTCACATACCTCAGAGAGGAATCTTGCTTTCGATAGGAAGCTTTAAAGTAAGGTTTTTCGTGGTCTAAAGATTGAAATTAATAAAATTAGAAATCGTAATTAATTCTTTATTATTTATTTCAATTACAGCACAAGATGGAACTGTTACCATCTATTCGCAGTCTTCATAAGATGGGTTATAAATTATACGCTAGTATGGGTACCGCAGATTTCTACACAGAACACGGAGTGAAGGTAAGTGAGAGGGACATGTTACGAAATTTTTTTGTTACAAATTTAAAACGTACGAATATTTAAATATTTACATTCGGATTAACAAAAATCGAAAATTTAATTTACATATAGATTTAAATAATTTAAATTTCGTTTTACTCTATTATTCTACGTATTAATTTTTCTAAATATATAAGAAATAAGAAGCATAGTTTTCTAATTCTTTTTTTTTAAATATAAATAATTTTTTAAATTAAATAACAATAAATTATGGATTATTTTCTAAAGCTTGAGAAATTTATTAGATAATGAAGGATCGGTGTGTGCTTTGGCTTTGGCAATTTTTAAATATTCGTATCATTTAATTTGACAGAAGTTAAAAATGGCAGCGATTGAGGCTTATTGCGTTTCGATTTTGAAATTTGATTTTCGTTTTCATTAATCGTTACGCTTTTACTTTTATCGTTCAATTTATCCAGTTCTTCGTATTGCCTCTCGTGAATAATCGCCTTTATAACGTGAGTACGACTATTCTCTTGATCAGATCGCTTTTCTGACAATTTTTCTTTCGTTTCCGTTGAACGAACGGGCCTCGATGTAAAGCGATCGCTCAACGATTCAACGTATATGGCCTTTTCCGAATTTCTTAGGGAACTATTCGACGGATTAATTGACGGCTCGTTTCTCGATTTTGAATTCATCGTTCTGAGACTTTTTATCTTTTCGCGATAAGTTTTCGCGTCGTTCCTGTAATTTTCACCCTCGAAAAGTAGAATGGACAATCGATCGGCTTGATTCAGATATATTGTTTTCTGTCGATACGCTTCGTATTGAATACAACATTCAGCGATTTCTATGAAATGTTTTATGAAGAATTTTAAAAGTATACATAACCTTGGACCTTCCAACTCGGCGCATCGAGTCTGAAAAAAAGAGATGAATAAATCGGTTAGTTTTTTTTTAATCAATAAAATGTCATCCCATATGATAGATGGTCGGATTATAGATAATATGATTATTCAGATAAGATTAGACTTTGTTAGAAACACAAATAAACTAATTCAATTGTATCGTTTCTTATCGTACTTAGAAATAATTCATTTATCAAAGACATCTGTATATATCCGTACAAATTGTTTCAAAAGAAGAATATATATCACGTTTAATTCGATTAATAATTTAATAACGGATCAATAAGAGCTTACCGAGATTTCAATGATCGAATCCGTAGCTTTGCGCGCGTTGATCAACGTTCTATTCGATCTAATCGATTTGACGGAACGTTTGACCCGTTGCGTGTCCCAAAATCCTCTTTCGTCGTATTTATCCTCTTGTACGACATTTACATACTTTTGCGGCAACTGTTTCGATATGTATCGGTTCAACGTCGGATTGATCAACGTCAACGTTTCACCCGTTAATATTCTCAACAACAGCTCGAAATCTAATCTCGGGAAAAAATCATTTCTGTACTGAATATTCTCCATCGCGTGGAAAACGTACATTATCGGGTTCTCGGTGATGCGCTTCAACTGCTTTTGCGTGTGGAGAAGGTGTTCGCACGGTATCCTTTGAAAGAGATTCCTACCCTTGATGAAGTAATCCCTCAATATAGGCTCGTTCTGGCTGATATTGTAATACAAAGAGTTGAGCAACTTCAACAAACACTCCCCTGTCCCGTTCTCGGGCCATTTCGACGGCTTGTCGTTCTCCTCGATCATCCAGAATAACTTGTGCCTTATGTGCGCCGTAGTCATCCCGAACATAGTGTCGAATATTGGCCTCATGAACGTCTTGTGAAGCATCAAAGCGATCAAGTACACCTGCACTTGGGCCTGGGTCATGCAGGTTTCGAGATACCTTTCAGCTGTCGGGAACGTGAGCTGCCACTCGAGATCCTCGATGAGATTGCTATTTCCACTTTTCGGCACGTACCCTTCCGGCACAACGTAACACCCGAAATCTTTCACCTTGTCAATGTCCTTCTCGCTCGGCCAACTTTCCCGCGACCTGTTCAACCATTCCTGGCCGCATATCGGCCATTTCAGCCATATGGCGGGAATTATCTCGTACTGTTCTATCTGGCTGTCCTTATCATACGCGTCCGATATCATAATTTTGTCACAGTAGAGCACGCATCCCTCCCGTTTCAAGTCCTCCACCGTCTCTCGATCGAAGCACAACGAATACCCCAACTTATACGCGAACAATTTTATAAAATGTTTCATGAACTCGGTACTGCTTATGTAGGACAGATCGTAGTTGTGCCGCTTCATCGCCAATTTGATCCTACGCTGTTTGCTGTTCAACACGTTCACCTTCTCCTCGGCAGGGTCGTAGATCTTCCCGTCGCTCGTGTACGTCACCTTCTTGAAACAACGCTTCGGGAATCTGCCGTTCGTTATCCAAGATTCGTCTATCTCCTCGAAACTGGAGGACGCTTGGGAAACTCTCGAGCTCTGGCTCGGATTGCTCTCGCTGTATATCGCGTAATTGTCGGATCGGTATCCGGAACTGTTGCTGCTAGGATGATTCACCTGGAATTTCGACTGTTGGGTGTCCTTCTGCCAACGTTGATTCCCGCCCATCTTCGATCGATTCTGATTCCCTCGCTCCTCCAGAGGCGAGGATCCCCCGTCGTAATCCATGATATCGGTATGGGACAAATCCTCGGTCAAGTTTGGCAACGATCTCGTGTGCTTCAGCCTGCTTCGAAGCATATCCTGCTTCGATCTATTCGAGATTGCCGATCTATTCGAACTGACGGATAGATTAGATCGGGCCTTCGACCCGTAAATACTGGCGTCGCTGTACAATTCGTCGTCGTCCTCGAGTATGGAGGATAGATCCATTTCATCCTCCTTGATCGACTTTTTCTTCAACAAGAAATCGTTCAAGTCGTCCAACACTTGAAGCTGAACGTAACCTGTAAAAAAACAAGGTAAACTTTCATATCATCGTGGATTATGAAAATTATATTGTTTATATTTTATATATTTATCCTTTCCACCTTCGTGTTTCGTTGGTTTCAACAGTATGTTGTACGTAATGGAATCGTTCACGTTGCTGTAATGGGACGAGTAATTCTCCTCCGTGATATCGATGTTGTCGTGGACCATGTATATGCGAACCGGTTGAAGGGGTTCGATCGTAGATCGAATATCTTGTCGCCTCGAGATGAAGCCGACGTGGCGGGTGATGTGCTCCTGAAGAATGTCTGGAACTAAAACTCGTTTCTGCGATTGTTTATTCAATTGTTCGTTCATTTTCATTTCGCGCGAGGACTTCAGCGTCTTCTTCAGATCTTTGATTTCCCTGAAAAAAAAAAAAAATGGGGAAGTCAATCATCAAATATTTATTTCTCCGATCGATCGTTGTGATAAATCGTTGTGAATTTTTATCGTGTACACGTGTTAATCGCGTTATCGAGGTCAACCGTGTAATGTGTCATCGGATTCGGAAGAATAAAATTGCTCGTCTAATAATTATCGGAAGAAGAATGTGTTTAATTAATTGATAATGAGGATATATCTTAATATTGTCACGTATTCGAGACTCGCTCTTTTACTTTGTGGAAAATAAATTACTCTCCATATTTATTTATAGAATGTGAATTATATTCGAGAGTAAAATTTTTTTAAAAGAGAAAATTATCGGTGTGATAAAGTTATGATCTAATTTTTATGACACATGATCTTTAAAACCGACCTAATTTGCCATAATGGCTCTTATATTATTTTATCTTATATATATATACATATATATATATACACGAACACGAATGAATGAATACGAAAAAATGCAAGTTGAGATAATGATATGATATTCTCTTTGAAATAGTTCGTATGCCGAAATCCATTTTTTTTTTTTTTTTTACTCGAGACATCATTATCATTACCATTTTAATTGACATTTTAATTGGTTAAATCTTATTTCATTAATACGCAATTCTTTTTTTTTTTTTATTGATATTTAAAGTCAATATCTCTGTATATTAAAAATATCTACTTCGTCGTTAATCTGTCTCTAAAACAATAGGAAATGAATATCGATAAATATGGAATCAATTTTTGCAATAATAAAATTAACGGGGGGAAAAGTGAATAATCTGATAAAAATAACGATAATTAAATTTTTTCGCTGTGTGAATCACGCGGTAAAAAGAACTTTTGAATCATCTTTTCTTTTCTCTCTTTTTGCCGAGAAAAATATAGAAAAATTGTATTTTTAAAAATCGAAAAATAGTCCGCCCGATCGAATCGATTTCTTATTAACGTTGCGCAAACGATCTTTGGAAAAAAAAAAAAAAAAATACATATATACATATATATCTTCATAATCTTACTCTTCGTAGTTCCCGAAGAATTGAACGCACATCATGAGATTGTTCAGTATGAACAATTCTGGATTCCTTCTAATTGTTTGTCTCAATAACGATAATTGCGGATCATTAGCGAATTCCTCGATGGAATTATCGGATGATTTAGAAATACTTTCGAACCGAGCACTTTTCCCACTCTTCGAGTTCGTTTTCCCTGTCCTCTTGATCTTCGATTTCGAATTTCCCATTTCTCGTTCTCGTTCTCTTCACGCGATTCTTCACCCTTAAAAAAAGAAGCAAGCGGTTTATAAACTGTGAACTGTCCTCCCTCTCATCTCCTCGCAAAATATTACTCGTTCTCGAATCGGACACTTTGTTGACGAAGAATAAACGGCGGCGTTCATGACGCGTCTAAAAGGCACAAACGTGTAACAAGTATTCAACGAGACAATAATCGAGTATCGTCGATAGGTATCGTCGATATATCGTCGTCTTACCTATCGTTATCATCACGGTCAGCTTTAAACGTTTTAATCGCCTCGCTCGCTATCGACTATATCGGGAGAAATATAGTACAAGAGCGATTCTTGTTTTCGCATAAGTAAATCATCTAAGATCTAAAAAAAAAAAAAAAAATAAAAAAAAATAAATAAATAATTAATAAGTAATATCGATAAAGTAAAGAAAGAAATGGATCGATATTTGTATATATCTGATTTTATTAAATCGATTGGACACGATCAATTTCGATAAATTTAATCTGCATGCGAGATTATCTCATGTTCTTGCGGATTAATAATGGAAAAGAATTAGAATTAATGATGCGATGACATCAAGGTAGAATGAATTTTCTTTCACGAATAATCATATATATTGATTTCGTAAGATTAAAAAAAATGGAATCTTTATCTAATCTCAAGTCTAAATCGAAATCAATCGATAATTATTTTTATTATATACATACATACGTATATATATATATATATATATGTATATATTGAATCAAAAAATATTGTATTGTATTTTAAGTATAACAGATACGCGTTCCTTTTTTTCTTTCATCTTTGGAATTTCAAATTATAAAATAATTGCTTGTTCCTCGTTGATTCGTGTTGCTATTTTTCGAAGATTCAATAAAGCTTTAACGCGTAGAAGTTCGTTATCGATGTAGATACGATAGATCAGATAGAATCTAATGGATAAATGTTACTTAAAAAAAAAAATAAGATAAAGAAATGAAAGAGCATACATAGGAATAACAAAATTTGAAGAGAAACGATGAATTGTATTTTTTTTCTTTTTTTTTCTTTTTCTTTTTTTTTTCTTTTGAAATATTAGGTAGAGCCCGTACAATGGACGTTCGAGAATATCAGCGTCAACGAAGATTCCAGCCCGAGCGAACTTCGACATTTGGCCGACTTTCTATCGAAGAAACAATTTGATCTTGTGATTAATTTACCAATGAGGAACGGCGGTGCACGCCGAGTTTCCAATTTCATGACACACGGATACCGTACGAGGAGGCTCGCCGTCGATTATTCCGTTCCTTTAATCACGGATGTTAAATGTGCTAAATTGCTCGTTGAAGTGAGTGTAAAGTTTGATATAATTATATCTCATCTGAAAAGGTTCGTAATAATTTCAATTATCGTTTACATTTGGCACGTGTAGAATTATTTTTTTTTTTTTATCTTTTTCTTTTTCTTTTTCTCTTCGTCGTTGAAATGACGTATAATCGAGCAACAAGCAGTCATAATTCCTTGAAAAAATAAGAATAAAAAAAAATGGAATAAAATTTTTTCCTTGGAGATTTCGTTTCTTTCGAAATTTTCGAGTTCGATTATGAAATCGATTATATTGATTAATTATTTTCCAATGAATTGAAATCGATAGGAAGTTATTCATGGTTAAAAGATAAGGGGAAAAAATTAAATGTGAATTTTATAAATCATCGATTACATAATATCTTAATTACATATATGTATTCGTAACTCGAATTTTTTTCAAAAACGTGGAGTTACTTTGATAAAATTTTACTCTTCGTTTTCTATTTTTTTTTTTTACTTTCATTCGTAGAATAACTTTTCATCACGATAATTCATATCTAATTTCATTTCCGCTTAAAAACATTTTAAACTTGATTTTCCTAATAAAAGCTATAGACGAAAAAATTTTATAAATTTTACTTATTCTAATTTTTTCATTTTCAATTCATATCGGCTTGAACGTGTTATTCAGCTTGCATATAACCAGCCATATATAATAAACGAGCATATGTAATCGTCGACGAGGTAGCGGCACTGGCACTGTTGTGATTATCGAGAAATGACGTCACAATAAATACGCATTCTGTTTCGTAGGCTATGAGAATGCTCGGCGGACGTGCACCTCGAATGAAAACTCATACGGATTGTATGTCATCGCGGACGATGATTAAACTTCCCGGCTTGATCGATATTCACGTACACACACGTGATCCAGGCGCAATTTACAAAGAAGATTTCGCTTCTTGTACGGCCGCTGCTCTTGCCGGAGGTATCACCATGATTTTTGCTATGCCCAACACGAATCCTGCTGTCGTCGATCATCAATCATTCGCTCTGGCCAAAGAAGTAAGA